TCTGTATATGGAGAATTTTTTTTTAACTGGTTGCATTTACTTTGATACCTGTGAGAAATTGTTCTTGTGCTTTCGTTTGCTTATTTACTTTTCTCCATAAAATTGTTCTGTAATTCATAAATTATTTTTTTGCTTGTCTGCTTCCTCTGTTGTGTGTGTGTGTGTGTGTGTCGCTTGTTCCTAGACTGGTTCTTCCTAAAAGTTATATTAACAAAAAAAATTACACAGTATGCTTTTTATAATATTAACTCTTAGTTTTGATGCGTTTATCAAATAACAGTGCTGAGGCTATTATTACAAAGAATCTTTGTCTTGTGCTTAACTGCTTATTCAATGCCTTTATTGATTCATCTGAATCTTTGGTTAACAAGGGAGAAGGCTGAAGAGTGGAGAACTTGTCTCAGTTTGTTTTGGGAAATTAAATAGATTAATTGCTGGTTAGGCTTTGTTGTGTCAACCTTTCATATGTGATTAGTTGTGTTCTAATTTCTGTATTATGGGAAATCAGTAAGTGGTGCTGTGAGTGGAAACTAGCACAAATACACTGAGGGACGAGTGAGGAGTATTTGTTTGTATGGAATCATTTTCCCTCTTGTCATCCACTGCTCTTCATCTCTGTGTGCGACTGTGTGCTACCTCTTTTTTTTATATAAAGTATTGTGCCAATATTTGCATTTTGCTGTAACCAATCATGTTAATTCAAAAGTATGTGAATCTGTTCAGTCTTGTGAAGTAAATATTGATGGTTAGCTTGATTGTGTTTTCTATGTTGCTTGCAAGTTCAGTTCTTGAAAAAGGTTATGTTCTTGGCTGTCAGTTTCATTCAATGTTGGAAGTATATGTATTTTATACCAATTATTTGGCTGAAATATATCCTGAACATTTTCCTAATTTCTCATATGTATTTTTTGTTACAGATTATACATTATGAACTCCCTAACAATTCTGAGAGTTTCGTTCATCGGTCCGGTCGAACAGGTCGTGCTGGCAAAAAAGGAATTGCTATTCTCATGTATACAATGGATCAGTCAAGGGCTGTTAAGGGTATCGAGCGTGATGTTGGATGCAAATTTAAAGAGGTTAATTTCTTTCTAGTGTTATTTGCTATGTCTTCAAGTATATGTATATCATGATTTTTTTGCCTAGTATATAAATAAATGGCTTATCGAGTTCCCTGCTGTTTAATTAATTATTTTTTGGGGCGGTTGTATAGTCATTGCATATTTGTAAATTTTGCCGTAATTACACGTATAAGGCTGTGTACAATTCCATCCTACTCTTGCTAGTGTGTGATCTTTTTAGAGGAGTTGGTGTAATGTTGACATTATTATTGTTGGTTGTTGTTGACTTGGGGTTCCATGTCTGTTTATTTCTCCTCGCCTCTGTTCCAATTACCTTTTTTGGAGGTGCCTGATTGGCTCATGAGCTGATAACTTTATATATCTAGTTTTGTTTTTTTCTTTTCCATCTGCTCCTATCTTGGGTAGTTTTGTGTTAATTATGGGCTGGAAAACAGGCTAAGAACATGCTTACAAGCTATGGCCACAGTAGTTTACATCAAACTTGCAAGGATATTGCTTCCTGCTTCAATTCAAAATGAGATAAACTCCTAAAAATTTAGTACAGATGCAAATTGTATGCAGTCAAGATGATATTCCTTGTAGGCATGCTAGTTGATTGAGTGATCTTTTTGTTAGTTTTGCCCGCAATATACTCTTGCATCTAGGCTAAATTACTGACTTGTTTTTCTTTATCAGCTTTCTGCAGTTGCGACTGATGGTGCAGAATTGGACATGAACATGGGTGGTGGAGGTCGATTTGGGAACTCTGGCTTCAGTCGTTCTGGAGGATATGGAAGCAGTTCTCGTTCTGGTGGTTATGGCGGAGATTCCTATTCAGGACGTTCTGGTGGTTATGGACGTTCTGGCGGATCCAGGGAATCTGGTTCAGGTGGTTTTGGTTCTTATGGAGGTTCTAGGTCAGGTGGTGGTGGTGGATATGGTGGTTCAGGCAGCTCTGATAGTTTTGGTAGGTCTGGTTTTAGTAAACCCAGTGGCGGTGGATTCGGTGACATGGGGAGAAGAGACAAATCCGGGGGTTTCGGCAGTTTTGGTTCAGGACGTTCTAATCAGAGCAGTGGAGGGTTTGGTAATGCTAATTCTAGTCGATTTGGCAGCTTTGGGGATGATAAATTTTAAGACGGCAGCCTGTTTTGGCTGGGCGAACAATTTATGAGCAGGTTGGTGTTTTACCTCTATGCATAATGTTAGTATTTTTGCTGCTGCTTGTATTTTAAATCTTTTAAGAGCTGGCTATTCATCTATCATTACTATGTGAAAAGACTGCATTTCTCCTTCCATTTCTTCTCTCATCCCTTAGTAAGGGAAAAAGAGGAATTCAAGTCTCTCATAAGTCATAATCTATATCTATTACTAAGACAAGATCAATCATTGATGGATTTCAAAAAAACTTAATAAATTTGTACAATGCTCGGGACTAACCTTATTCATTACAGAGAAAGGGAAAATGGTTGACTTGTACCCTGTTTGATTTTGTACTTGTTACACAGCTGTTCATATTTTTCAACATGTTATTGCATTCACCGTTATCCTTCTTTCTAGATGTTTTCCTACTGCTACATCCTGTGGCATCTGCGAGTCCAAGTCTAATAATAATTTGTACCTCTGCCAGGGATCCCAAACCTCTATGGTTGCTGGAGTGGATTTGGGTTTACCTGGATTAGACTTGGAGCTCATTTTTCTACAGGCGTGCAGGTGGGTGAGCAAATTTGCTGCCTACCTGAAGCCAGTAGGATGGCTCTCACCTCCAGTTTTAGCCTTTCAAATCCCTGTTTGTGGTTCAACTGGGTCACATTCCATATATGTTCCCAGTTGTTCTTCATGCTACTTTATGTTTTTAAAAGGTCAATGCATCATTCAGGTAATGCCGGGTGATGTTTTTGCTTATTTCCATGTTAGAAGCTAATAAATATGCTTGTAATATTTTGATAAATTTTGTTAATTTAATTAAAATCTAAGGGTGTGTTTGGCATCGTTTTTTGTTTTTAGTTTTATGTTTTTTTAAAACCAAAAACAGGAAACAAGAAAAAGGTGTGTTCACTTTTTTGTTGTCAGTTTTCAAAATTATCATGATTTTACTAAGTTTGACTAATTTTTAATTCATTATATGACATAAATCATATGGTTCTAAAAAACATAAAACCATAGTGATGCCAAACGAACCCTAAAATTGTTGTTTTATGTTGGAGTTGTGTTGAATCATGCATATTTTCGTAAGATCAATTAGACCAACTTCAGGTTCTTAGTTTAATTCTTTTGCAGCTGCAGGCAAGGATATTTGATTGCTATATGGAAACGAACATGAGTAGCATTTTCTGGAACAATTATGGAGTGTGCATCAATTAATTCAGATCGTTAATCGAAGTCATGATGATAATCATACAAGTGGTCTTGGTGAAAATATAGTTTTTTCTTTATGAACGTAATACCTTGTTTGTAGTATATAACCAGTTAGAGTAGGCACTACCTAATTATTTATGCTTAAGACTATTCTGGGATCTTGGCTCTGTCCTTATATAAGTAAATAAGGTATTTTGAAGAGCTTGTATGCCATTCAATTATGCGTTTATTTGTTTTTTGTTTCAAAGTTTTGGTGATGTACAGTATGTTGTCCTCCGAGGAACCTTATAAACGATCTTACCCCGCTACCCACAAATAAAGAGTTGAACTCTAGATCTTTTGTGGGCTTTTTTTCAAAATTGTTTCACTCGTAATATCATTTCTTAGGAAGTAGTTTGTATAATTTTTTAGCTCGATTGATATGTTAAGCTAATATGTGAAGTTTTAATTCCGTAAGGGTTCCTGAGAGTTAATCCTTTCATCTTTTGGGGCCAATTAGTGATTTTGTTGGCTTTGTTGAGTGGCTAATTTGCACGTAACACTTGATTAATGGGACTATAGAACTTAGATATATTCGAGTGGAGAATTAAATCTTAGCTTATATGAGCAGATAGCAAGATAAGACTTCTAATCAGAGATTTGTTTAGAACTTTAGATGATAAAATAATTGTAGATATCAATTATCAATCATATCATATGATTGTTATATTTTTTAAAAAAATTGGTCATGATTCACTAATCATATAAAAACCTTGATCCTTTTTACAACTTGAAAAAGTAATGACACAACTAATTGAAGTCCAATTCAAGGTATGCTTAGAAATAATTAGAGCTACTCAACTAGTAACTTCTAAAAAGTTTGGATAAAGGACATATAAGGGTCTGTTCTCATACGTTTATTTTCAGTTCAGTTTAGCTCCTTCCTTCTCTTATAAAATATTCAGTTCAGTACAGTTCAGTTTATGAGAACAGGCCCTGTTCATATACTTTATGTAAATCGAATAATTTAAATGATTACCGTTTAGATAGATACACACATTTGGCTATTAACATGTTGTAAGCTTACTTTATACTACCTTTGTTTTTTATTAGTTGACACGTTTTAACTTTAGCACTATTCACACTCTCCCCTTTGACCGTGTTTTGTGATTTATAGGTAATGAAAAATATAGTCATGTGGGGTCTTGTTAGATTCGTCACGATATATATTTTTAAAATACCAACTTTTTATAATTTTTTATAAACGGTAATTAAAGATATTAAAGGTTGAAGTTGTGTATTGACAAACGTGACTAAAGAAACGTGTCAACTAAAATGAAACGGAGAAAGTATGAGGTAAAAGCGAATTTAAGATTTTTGTATTAAACTAGTAAAGCAATGTCAATTCAATGCATGTCTCATTTTATACTCCGTAATTTATTTTGACTTTCTTCTTATAAAATGGTGGAGCACGTGTCATCTATGTCTTTTATCAGACTCATATATGATACTAGTTTCGTCTCTTATTTTTATACCTATTTCTCTCCATTATGTGACTAATAAATACTAGAAATATGCATATAAATAAGGGACAGAGGGACTGAGGGAGTACAAAATTTTTCTGTTACCTTATATTATTATACCCTTGAAAAATGATTTATAAAAAGGAAAATTGTGAAGTGTTTTTGGAGGAGAGAGAAAGCTAAGGAGAAAAATAGACAAGAAGAAGGGGGCAGTTGGGATTTAAAATAAGTGTGAAAGTTACTAAACATGAGACCAACAATCAAATTTAATGCCTTTTTATGTATGCTAGTAACACTTTTTGTATATACTTGTATTTATTTTTATCATATTATATGAATCACTCACTATTTATATTTGCATTTTTATGAAATGATGAGGCTTATCATAACCCCTTCCCTCCTCCTCGTCACGTCCTTTTTATTTCCCTTCTCCCAATAACTTCAGAATTCCACGCCTTCAATATATATATATATATATATATTTTTTTTTTTTTGGCCACTCCTAATTTTTTCCTTTAATTTTTTGTCTTTTTCTTGGCCTTTTATTGCAGTCAACTTGGATTATTGTCTCTATATTCTTTAACCATTTTATTAAATTTTTTACCCTTTTATTCAAAACTCCCAAAACATACCCTTCCTCTTAATTCTAACCTTCTCTTTCTACTATTCATGTGATCCATCTCTTTCACTTACTCTTGCACAATTTTCCATTTTCATTCTAAATTTTACTATTTTCATAAATATTTGCACCTTATTTATTACTTATATTCTCTCTTTATAAGAGCAAACAACAACCACTACTACTACTACTTAGGTTTTTTTTAGTTACAATATATTGTTGCATTGCATTTTATTTTCTACACAAAGTGAGTGAGCTAGAAGAAGAATTATGATGGGTTTTAATGAAGTTGCTAACCAAGATCTTAGCTTAGGAGATCCTTTCAAAGGCGGTCGTAAGCTTCGACCACTCGTTCCTAGGCCTTTTCTCTCATCTCCTACTCCTAATCACAATGTTAACACCACTTGTTTAACGGGTTTTCATCATAACCCTTCTAATCATCACCTTCTCTCCTTAAACACCACCACCACTCGCCACCAACACCACTTTGGTAAGCATTTCGTACATAATATTTAGTCGATACTGTAACTTTTAACTAGTAATGTTACATGTTTAAATTTGTACATAATATTCAGTCATGTTGATATATACTGTTACTTTTATATACGTACTATATTATTATGTAGCGTTACAAGTATAAAATTTTTAATATAATTTGTTTCACGTGATCAGAAGAAGGTAAGGAGGCTGTGGGAACACATCAAGTCATGGTGAGCTCAAGGTGGAACCCAACGCCGGAGCAGCTAAGGGCGTTGGAGGAGTTGTATAGGCGTGGCACTCGAACGCCTTCGGCCGAGCAAATTCAACACATCACCGCACAACTTCGCCGTTATGGTAAGATAGAGGGCAAGAATGTATTCTACTGGTTTCAAAATCATAAGGCCCGGGAACGCCAAAAACGACGTCGTCAACTTCAACTTCCTATTCAACCACCTTCTGGTATAATAATATAATAGTGTACCTTGCTAATTAAGCTTGTTCATTTTTATCTTCTATAACTTTTAAGTCATATATTTATTTATTTATATTTAATTTCCTAATTATAATTTTGTTAATTTTATTTGTTTTTTTAAATAAGGGAGTAAGATAGGTTTTGAAGGTGAGCACAAGAGTTGCAAATGGGCACAATCATCTACAAACAAGGTGTGAATCCCAATTTTCAACTTTTCTTTTTTCTTTAATTACTTTTTTTTTTTTTTTTGAAAATATTTCCTTATTCAATGTGTAATCCCCTTTATGAATCTTCCCTCCCAAAAAGAAGAATATACTCTTGTAAAATCTTTGCTATAGTCAAACTTCTAAGTTCTAACTCACTAAATTAGTTAGTAGATTCACAATTAAATTAATCAAAATTAAAATGTACTTGGTATAAGGTTTTTAAGCTTTTACTCATTACTACTTGTAGAAAACAATTTATAATAATCGTCGATTAGGTATCTCGTACATACATGTGTTGTTTAGTGTTTAATTTCGTCAATTTTTGTAATTTAATTGAAGTGATGTATCACATGTAAGACAATCTATCCATTATGATTATATCCTAATAATGTGCATGGTACATAGTTTTAGTCATGTCCTAGGATAGATGATAATCCATTATTTGATGATTAGATAATCATTATGATTCATATAATTAAAAACTTGTACCACCTTTTATTGTATGATTAAGAAATATTGAAAAACATAAAATAAATAAATAAAAAATGTGGAATGATAGAGAAAAAGCAAAATTTGTTGGGAAATGAAAAGAATCAAAAAGCTGCCTTCCTTCTTTCTGTCGGGGGACCTTTGCATGCCTTTTCCTTTTCTTCTTTCAATTCCTTCTGATTGTGTTTTTGTGTTTTCTGTTTTCAACTCCCATCTTTTTTTCAATTTCAATTTCAATTTTCACCCACATATTATAATTAAAATTAAATCAAAACCTTACCTTTTTCATGATTTTTTACCTACTTAATTGACTCAATTACCCTCACTTTTTAAGCATGTGAAGGGAAAAAGGCTATCCTAGGGTTAAATTCAGTGTTTTTTCTTATTTGTAAGTTTGTAATTTTGTCAACAACAATAACTCGTACAACATGTTCACAGTATTTATTGACTTGTTTTGGTGTGTGCTTTCACATCTTATAACACTCCACACAAACGGAGTATATCTTATCTTGTTAGGTACCTCTTGTATACAACGAGTGTATTACTTATAACATATCTATACATTTAGTTATAACTTTATAACTCATCTCTTACACATACAATATCTTTAACATAATTTTATGGACAAAAATTATCACTTGCACACATACAATAAGTGCAAGTATGTGATAATTTTTTAACAAGTGTTACACTTTGGATTTTTCACTATTCACATAACTGTTGTTTTGACTTGATTAATTTACTAATATTTAAAAACAAATATTATTATATAATACGGAGTGCATTGTTGGATTTGTTATAATGTATAATTGATAATATTAATTTTCTATAGTTTTACAAGCATATAATTAAATAAATTAATGGTCAAAGTCGTATCTCCACATGCGTATTTGGTTAAACCGTAACATTTATTAAAACACAAAGGGAGTATAAACTTTTATTTGATTTGGAATGAAAAAATTTATGGAGTACAAATTAAACTTGTTAAATTGAATATATATGGCTGATTTTATATTTATATAGAATTGTATAATTGTATATTATGATTACTGAATTATTATATTTTGCATGGTGAGCAGGATGAATCTGATCCACCAATACAAATATCAGAAGAAGCAGCAGCCCTAACAAAATCAGATACCACGACAAATCCTATTTCATCTGATGGTTGGATCCAATTCCATGAATTCCAACATAATCATACTACCAATAATAATTCTAATAATTTCAATATTATTTCAAGTGAAAAAAATTTATTATTTGCAGGAGAAAGGAATTCCACGTGGCAAACTACTACTACACCTACTCATAATAACAATATTAATAATAATAATAATGATAATAATATTATGATGGTCCAACCCTCGTCTTGTTCTTGTTGTTTCCCTTCTTCTGTTCCGTTTTCTCTCTCCTCTAAACATAATTATTTACCATCCTTCATTACTTCTAAAGATCGTAATTTTGGTGAAAGACCGCCATCGTCTCCTACCCTACAACTCTTCCCGGTTGTAAGAGACGACAACAACAACGATGGTGATGGGGATGAGGACGAGAATGTTGAGAATAATTCGTGTCTTACGACGACTAATAACAATGATCATGAGAAAGGTGGTGGTAGTAGTAATAGTAGCATTCATCATATGCCTAAGTTATTGGTGTGTAACAACAACAATCCTTTTCCTTATTATCAGTTTCTTTAAATGAGACTGTTTTTTTTTAATTTATTAGAGTAAATGTATTTAGGTTTCTATTTATAGTAGTTTATTTACTTATTGTTAAACTGTGGGAAAGTCACGTGATTGACTTCATTTTGGAGTGACAATTTTCAGATGCCTTTTTGTAGTAACTGATGTTTTATAGTAGTAGTATCATAAATATTGAGTATGACTGATTTATAACTACTTTTAGTATTAATCTATTTTTAGTTTTCAAAGTATGATAGTGTTATGTTGATTGATTGATGTTAAGATATCACAGAAAGACACAATCTTATAATGTTGGTATAGGGAAATGGAGAATTTCCTTGTAATGCACTTGGACAATGTTACATTTATATACTATGCCTTTTATTTTATTTTATTTTATTTTATTTTATTATATTTATTGTTGAGGTATAAAATTTAAAATGCAATATTGATTGGTATAGTATATAATCAAATACAACAATGGACTGTTGCCCTAATAGATTTATGGGTTTATGTGGTATTAAGGGGATTGAAATGGACAACATACAAAGTAAGGACTAAGGAGTACTTAACTTTTAGGGTATGAATTATACAAACTACACGTAAGTGTACTTACGCGTGCACATGGTATATCCAGTATTATTTTTATACGTACATTTAAATAATTAGAACAGATGAAATGAACAAATGTGTGTGTGTTTTTTTTTAAAAAAATAACTTAAATATGATAAAATTGAGTGTATAATGAAAATTATCTTTAACTTGGATGTGACTTATTACAAGAATACATTATACACAATACTTCACTAGCTATTTAAAACATACAACTATACATACCAGTATAAAATCTGGGAGGGTTACTTAGCTTCTACGGAGTAAAATAGATATTCTTCAACCCAAGGTTGCAAAGAATTCAAGATTATCCTACTTCCTCCGTGATATTTATTTAAAGTGAAAAGTTTTGAAGTTTTACACTATATATTCACCCACTCCACTTTAACTAATATTAATTTATAAATATAAGAAAAATACAAAAACATTCTTCTTAGAGTCTTGTATTTATTGAAATTGTCTTAGTAAAAATAGTTATAAATTAATATTCATTTGTTATAATGTTTATACTAAGCATTTATGTCAATGGAATTAGGGCTTGTTCAGTTCAGCTTAATTTCAGTTAAATTCATTTTAGTTAAGTTTGAATCAGTTCTTAATTTTCTTATCTCATAAAATATTCAATTCAGTTTAGTTTAGCTCCAATCATTTCAATTCAGCTCACCTCAATTCAATAAATATGAACAAACCCTTAGAGGTTGGTAAACATGTGTGATGATGTACTATACCTAGGTCAATGAGTCTAGTTGACCCCAATTTATACTTCCTATACTAGGGGTGCTTATCGAGGGAGTCGATCACGAGCTGAGGAGTAATCGACTCAACTCGAAAACTTTTTACATGTGCTCAACTCGTTCTCGCTAAAGTTTCGAGCAAATAAAACTTACTCGACTCGTACTCGTTAAAGTTTCGAGTCGAGTCGAGTAGCTCACGATCTGCTCGTTAAAATTTTGGTCCTTCTATTATTATATTCCTTTATTTATTTTTTCTTCAATTTATATCGTTTTCCTTATTATATATTGATATTATTAAACATTTGCTCTTTCTTTTTTTATGATAAAAATTAAGACTTAATAAGTGTCAAATTTGTTTAAAGATAATAACTTTGTTTGCAAATTCTATAGTAATATTATATTATCGAGTCGAGTTAGAGCTTACTCAACTCGTGCTCGTTATCATCTCGAGTCGAGTCGAACTCGAGTCGAGTTTTGACCGAGCGTTGACCGATTTGAATACGAGTTGCTCGCGAGCTGCTCAACTCGATTAGCACCCTATCCTATACCATTTATACCATTGAAAGTAGAGTGAAAATTACAAGGATCCTACTTGATAGGGAAGAAAATCAAATCTTGCTCTTTTACTGGCTTGAAAAGAATTCACCGACCTCCAACCATTAGACTAACTTTAATTGATTCTTGCCTAACTATAATAACCCTAAATTACACGTGAACAATGTTACTCCACATGTCATAAGATGGTCACGTATATATGTAGTACAAAGTATGGATGAAATAAGAATTGAAATCTAGAAAAAAACAAAGGAAGATAGAAATGGAGAGAAGATGAAAGAGATGGGTCTGGTCGCCTAAGTTGACGAGTCATATTTAATAGGGTTTACATTCTCAGGACCCTAATAACTTACCTATACTACTAGTAGCTTTATTTAGGAGAGAGAAAATCTGAAAATTAAAAAAAAGAATGTAAGAAAAGATAGAAAATCCATGAATAATGTGGCCTGCATTATTTTTAATTTTCCAAGACAAAAAAAATAAAAAATGAGGGGTGTATTTGTATTTGTATTTGTAATTGTCATGTGTATGACTTGTTATCAAGTGATGTTGACGTATGATTACAAAAGGAAACTCCAGAGTTTGAGATTTTTGTTACTTGCAATTCTATTATATTATTATTGCATTTGCATGCATGTCTCAACTTTCATGCCCGCCCAAAAGTCATCTAAATCATCTAAGCTAAGCTTCTACATTCTACTTTTACTTGCTTGTTTCTTCTTTATAGGTTTTCATCATTCTATTTGCATGTCAATGTAGGAGAACTTTTTTAAATTTATACTACTATCTCTGTTTTGTAATAATGGCAATAGTAGTTATTGTGCAAAGTTTTATGAATTTTATAGGATAGACAATATAGGATGAATTGGTAGATATATATATTTACTTGTTAGGAGGATAGAGAAATAATAAAATAAAATAATACTCCGTAATAGATTTTACCGTTTAATTTAATTTTTTGGTTGTAATTTTCGTTTTGTTCATTGCTTTAGAGAAGGGAATAAGGTAGCTGACCGCTTAGCTAATTTGGGAGTGGTGCTTGAAGAGAGGATTGTTTTATTTCGATACACCTTCGATCGAAATAAAAAATCTTCATTTGGAGAGGTGACCACTTCCAGGCTAGTGAATTAGTTTGTTTTAATTCCGTTTTTTCTATTTTTGTATAAAAAAATTATTTTAAATCGGATGTAAAAAAAAAGTGTTGCGATAATTATGAAACAGAGAAAGTATAATAGTAGACACATTATTATTCTTATATTGTTTTAAGAAATTTATAGGCATGGGGTTGTATTGACGTGCTTTGATAGTGTACAAGTAGTACAACTGTACATAGTGTACATAGTACATATTTGTAAGTGGATTAGGCTTAGGCTAGACACAATCCATTCTGGTCCTCAAAGAGGCCATGCTTACTAACTGGATAGGGTCCGGTTTATGCACGATGTCACAGGCTACAATCTGCTTATATATGTATTATTTATTTTTATTAGAAATAGTGGGCCATTTGTTAATCTTATGTTGGATTTTTAGAATTACATACTTCATAATTTCGTATATATGTTCCGACTCATATACCTTTTGACATGGGTGGGAACATAGGGGACCGATTATAGCTTGCTTGGTACCACCCCTAATTAATGTTCGATATATTTTTATAAAATTTAATAGCAATATTATTTTATACCAAGTACGAACTATATTAATTTTGAAAATAAGTTAATTTCAAATCAAAGTGTTTCTCATGTCAATGTAGAGACAAGAGTGGGCTTAGTCCATCTCTAGGAGCCCAAATTCCACTTAGCCATGTTGATCTAACCAAAGACCAATCTTAGGAGTTATTGTATGTTAGTTTACGAAACTAGAGTTGTCAATTGGTACTATTGTATGAGTTCATACTACCACGTCTTAAAAGTTAGACTCATTTACTACTATTAGTGTATTCATGTTATTGAAGTTTTCTAAAAATAAGCTCAATATATACTATTTGCAATCTCAAAAAAACTAAAATAATTACAGTAGTTAAATTATCAAAAAGATAACAATAAAAAAATTAGAAAAAAAATTACTTTTAATTTACAGGTCAACATACACTGCATGATAACTTCGTCTCAGCCAACTCATTCCAACAAAAATATTGCCTTTGATATAACATCCATCCTTTATTATGAAGTTACAAGTAACGTACACTTGTTTTTTATCATCTTGTAGGCAAAATTGAAGTACATCACACATTAAAAGAAAGATTGAATACATAAAAGCTAATTATGAAATTATGAGCAAATTTTAAGCAACTTCTACATTGATGAACTTGCTTAATTAGTTTGCTGTTATTCAGTCTTGGAGAGCATTGTTTTATATAGAAAATCTCATGGACACAATGTCATCTATTAAATGATTCAAACTATTATAGGAAGATCCATCTTCAGCCACAGCTTGGGCAGCTAACTTAGCCATTTTATCAGCCCTTTTCGAAAACTCGTCTCTACGAGTCTCCATAAGTTCTTTGATCAACTCTTCTACCACAACTCTAGTACAATTATCCTTATTCATGTCTAGTCCAATCTTCCAAACCTCGCTTACAACCCTACTATTTACTTGTTGATCGACGTAGAATGGCCAACAAATCATTGGCACACCCTCAACAATACTCTCTAAAGTCGAGTTCCAACCACAATGTGTTAAAAACCCACCAATTGCACCATGTGCTAAGACCTCTTCTTGTGGTGCCCAACTTACAATACACCCTCTTTTCTTTGTACCCTCTACTAAATCATCAGGAATCATCTCTAAGTCATCCTGACTCGTGTCTTCGTCCTTGTTGATTATTGATCCAGGCCTTCTAACCCATAGAAACCTAGACTTGCTATTAATCAAACCATGCCAAATCTCCATGAGTTGGTCCTTTGTCATGGATGCAAGGCTTCCAATGCTCACGAAAAGGACCGATTTTGGGGGTTGAGCATCAAGCCATGCTAAACAACTTCTATCTTCTTGCCATAAACTATTTGAAATAGATTTGGTTGTTTCTTGTTGGATCCTAGACTTAAGGTTTAAGTGAAGGGGTCCAATGTTGTATAGATTAGGACATAATGCTCGAATGTGAGCAAAATAGTCGCCTTCAAGTTCATCAAAGGTGTTCAATATATGCCCTTGAGCTTTTGGAAATTCTTGAGCTTCCTTAAGTACTAGTTGGATAACAGGGTTGTTGGGATCATAAGCATGGCAGAAGCTCGGAAGATCTCGGCGCCTTAGGTAAGTTTCCATTCCCGGTACACTTGTTATTGATGCATCTAAGCCTTCTTCATCATCTACATATATACAAGTGAAATTGAAAAAATAGTCAAGTGATTGTTAATTTGACAAAGTATCCATCTAATAAGGAAGAAAATAATAAGTTTATCAACTTTGAGATCTTATGTTATAAATGCGTATACATAACTTGATTCACATTAGAGAAGAGAATATATATGTTGTAACAACCATCTCACTTAGGATAAAGATCAAATCTAATTGACTTATTTTATCTGAATTTAGCTGCATTTAATTGAAATTAACCAAAATTTATGAACGTACTTTACATCATTTGTTCCTAATTATTCGTAACAGGTTGACTTTTAAGTTTAAACATTGTTAGATTTAAAGATGAAACCCCAGTTAATCAATTTGATAAACAAAATTTGTTTATCAAATGACAAAATGATAAATAAAACAACATAAATACTTAGTTATCATGATATTTTCGTAAATATATCAATAACAGTGGGAACCATATTTAATAAAAAGTTGATTTATTTACAATTTTTCCATTTGATAAACAAATTTAGTTTATCATATTGATAAACTTGAATTTAATGTAGTTTTATTTTATGAAAATCTCTTTATATACGTACGTTCTTAATAAAAAAAAAAGTAAATAAAAATATATGTTAATGAACATAAAAGTTAAAGTGTTGCAATTAATCAGAAAGAAACAAGTAAAAGTTAGAATAATGAACAAACCTTGGAAAGGAAGGTCAACAACCTTAAGCAAATTAGGAATACAAAAGTAAGTCCAAAGGCAACAAGGACTACAAGTATCAAAATAAACAAGAGGCACCCTCAACTCTTTAGCAACATCCACCATGCACCCATACAACCCTTCTGCAATAATACAACTCACCGGTTTCTTCATCTCATCTTCGGCCGACCCGAAACCCAACACCTCCCTGAGCCGGCTACCCTCAGCTTGGGCTTGAGCCTCTAGGGACATAGTCAACAAGGAAACATTACGAGGGTTCTCATCGGGTCCAAACCCATCATGGACCGTCTCAAAGCGAAAGCGAGGCCTATAGTCATGTGCTAGGCGGGCAGCCGTGTTAGAGTGGAGTAGTAGGCGGCGGTGGATGAAATCGGTGGTGACGAAGGTGACGGAGACGGTGGCGGGGCTGAGGGAGAGGATGAGATTGGCTAGTTTGAGCATACAGTTGATTGGACCTTGGATTGGTAATGGAAAGATCACTACATGGGGTGATATTGTTGTGATATTATTACTATGAGTAATACTTTTTGTTAGATGATCTTCCATTTTTAAGAAATTTATTAGTTGATGTGTTGAGTTTGAACTCTTTATATTGCCTAGCTTAGCTACGTACCTAAACAATGTGTTAGTTAGTTTGGTGAACTTTTAAAAATAGTAGGGTTTAGTATAATATAAAGCTGTGATTAAGTAGAGAAAATCATAATTATTGTAATCTTGACTAAACATTGTTTAATGAATACAATATAGCATAATACTCTATGTATGACATAATGATATGAAATGAAAATTATAAATTTTCTGTCGTTCTTCATACTAATGTAATTATTGTTAGACTCGATCTATTAATTAACTTGTTTTTATTTCCTCAATCAAATCTTTGTCAATCCAATAAATAACTACAAACAAATTGTTACATTATTGTATGGGGAGATACCGATAACTTGTAAAATGCCGATATTTATTGGTTCACAGGCTAAACGGGTACGGGCCGGGTTTTTAGTCATAAAACTCATATTGGTAAGATCCCATAACGGCATAGATATCGGCCTCTTGAACATTAGCACGTGGCGTCAATTAATCAACACTTGGCATATATAAAGTGGTTTGCATGGCATACAACAACTTGACAGTTGAAGTCATTATAAATAGGTGAGCTTATCCTAATTAAAAGGTAGCATTTATTTTCTCCTCTATCTCCTTCTTTCTCTCTCTTCATATATCATCTCTTCTTTCTCTTAAAACAGTTTCTAACTTTACCATCAAAGTGGTCCCCGGATTCACCCTGAGGTTAGCTAATCCTCATTTCATGTGTAGGTGCTTAGCTGGACGGTAGGGTCTTCACGGACCTCGGATATGGGCTGTCGAATCTCAACAAGAACAATTATCAAATCGTCCTAGTTTAATATGCATGCTTAATTAATCCTAAGAAGATCGATTTAATAATGTGAGAACACATGTTTTAATTCGTTATACACTAGTTAGTGTTACATGACTTACATCTAAATAATCCTCTCTTACAAATGATTTTTATTTATTTATTAAAAAAAGGAAATTTTTTAAATTACCACCAAAATATGTATCAATTTTAAAAATAACCACCCGTTTAATTTTTTATTTTATTTTACCACCTCTTAAATTAAAAAACTACTCAGATTACCACCCGTTGCAAAATTCTGGTGGATTTCTTGCATGTGGACCTACCCAATGGCTAATAACGGCTATGTCTAAGCATTACAATCAACCATGTCTTAATTCTACCTCCCCTTTAAACCAGTTTATTAATTACAAGACAACCTAAATGAAAACAAGTAAAAAACCAAGAGCTTGTTATCTGAATTGCCACTACTACTGATCATCTTCTTCCTGTTACCACTAAGAGTCATTAGGTGGGGCCCACATAAGAGAAATCCACCAGAATTTTGAAATGGGTGATAATCTGAGTAATTTTTGAATTTAAGGGGTGGTAAAATAAAAATAAAAATTTAACAGGTGATTATTTTGAAAATGAATACATTTTTGGATGGTAATTTAAAAATAATTAACCTTAAAAAAAAAACACTAATCATAATCCACAAACTTTGTGAAGTTTACTTCGAGATCATGGTCCATATAATTATATAAATATATGCCTAGTTGCCTACTATTGAGATATAACAAAACATATAATTTGGAGTAATTCCTTCGGTGTATGAAGGATAAGACCGAAGCCTCTTGACTCTTGGGACTTGATAGACATTAAAAGTTTCATCAAGATGTGTGCCCAATATCAAATAAAGAACACCAATATTGTATAAAGGTGGCGCACATAGAATTGAAGGAGGATTATTGAAAGCTAAAGAATATGTGTTTTAAGGTAAACTTTTATGAACCCCAATATCTAATCTAAACCATGATACCATGTTAAAGGACCAAAATCAACTTAAACTTCAAATTGGTGGTAAGAGCTAGTTATAAGGTATATAAACCTATGGGTGGTATAACAGGAAAAAAAAATTACAAAAAATCACCTTTCTGTAGATATAATTTACTTATGATTTTTTCCATAAGCTAATGTTTATGTTGTAACATGTAAGTACAAAGTCTTAGACCCTGTTCAGTTTACCTTAAAATAATATTCTAATAAAAATAATTTCAGTTCAGTAAAAATAAGTTAAGTTCATTTCAGTAAAAATAACTTCATTTCAGTAAAAATTAGTAACTCTAAAGAAGAAATATAATAGAAAATTAGTAAAAATTATATAATTTAAGTTTAGTAAAAACAATTTTAAATAAGGTAAAGGAAACATGGTCTTACAGTAATTAAAAGTGGCATTTAACAAGCAATAGTAGGAAGATGATGAGAATTAGATCAAATATCTCTAACCTTGGAAAGGAAGTTGAGCAGCTTGAATCATGTTAGGTATACAAAAGAAAGTCCAAAGGCAACAAGGACTAATAGTCTCAAAATAAACAAGAGGCACTCTCAACTCTTTAGCAACATCAACCATGCACCCATAAAACGCTTCTGCTATAACACATGTAACCGGTTTCTTTAAACCAGCTTCGGCCGACCCGAAAGCCAGCACCTTCCTGAGCCGGCTACCCTCAGCCTGAGCCTGACCCTCTAGAGCCATGGTCAAGTCAGGAAGCTCACGGGGATTGTCATCTGGTCCAAGTCCATCAGGGACTGTCTCGAATCGAAAGCGAGGCTCATAGTCATGTTCTAGGCGGGCAGCCGTGTTAGAGTGAAGGAGTAGGCGGCGGCGGGTGTAGTTTGTGGTGAGGAAGGTGACGGAGACGGTGGCGGGGCTTAAGGAGAGGATGAGATCGGCTAGTTTGAGCGTACAATTGATTGGACCTTGGATTGGTAAAGGGAAGATTACTACATGAGGATGATGTTGAGTATGTTTTGTTAGATGATCATCTTCCATTTCTAGGAAATGTAGTTGTTGTCTAATTTTGCTTTAGTTTGTTTCTAAACTCTATATATCACCAAGTATATTGTTAAAACTCATTGTAGTCCATTTTTGAGTGTCCCACATTGATAAAAGATGTCAGGTAGAGGAGTTACTCCTATTATTACTAATTGGTTTTAGTATGGAAGTTCCTAAGCCTAGTTTGTTGTAGCCCAAACTCTTCGGATCTCCTCCTAAATTAAAAAAACGGAGGTAGTATAATGAAAAAATTGCTACTTCTAAAGTAAGAATTACTCAACCTGTAGTAGTTTTAGTTTTTGGGTTAATTAGGATGATATACTATCGAACAAAATTTGATACCAACAAACACTTCTTTTGTGTTTTTTAAGAGATTAATGAGAATTTGGAGTATTATAAAATTTTAAAAGAAAGATAATGATGTTAAATAAAAACTACTCCTTATTGTAAAGTTATAAATGTGAGGAAAGATTTTACCGAAAAAAAGGGTGAGGAAATAAATAATAAAAAAAATGCATAGTGAATTTAGATCGAGATCATAAGAAAAAGGAATATAATAATATTAAAATTTAACTTTTTGTCAACAATGAAAATAGAACACTTAAAAAAACTCGGCCACATTTGGTATGTAATATTTTTTTAAAAAAAAAATTGAGCAAGTTAGGCAAAAAGACTTGCGTGGACCTGGTCCACAATAACATATTATTGTGGACCCGATATTTATACATACGCAATTGATGTTATATTAAATATAGTGACCCTTATTTTTAACACAGTAACCATATTTTTAAGGTAGTAACCTTTATTAAAACTTGTACAACATTTAATATTATTGTGAACTTGAATACAACGTTATAACCCTAATTTTAACATAGTGACCTTTATTTTTCATATTGACCAATATATAAAATATTTCATTAAAAAATTTAACCTCTTATAGCCTATATATTACCAAAATAACTTTTATTTTAACATAGTGACCTAATTTTTATTATAGTGACTTTTTTTTTTAATTAATAAAACAATTATAGTTTCTCTAATATTAGTGGTCCACAATAAATTAGTGTGAACCAGGTTCATTTAAGAATTTGTACAAGTTAGGAAGAGAGGTCATGAGATTAGTTAACACGAGAGAATAAACTAATTTTCTTTTAATTTTAACCAATCAACTTTATGTTGCTTTTTGTAATACGAAGTAATTCATAAGTTATTAGATCCATGTGCAGAGGAACACAAGTGGATGCTAAAATAAGTATAAAATTATGCTAAGAAATCGCGGAAATCGCATCCATTGACTAAATTATTTTAAAGGAGTAGGATCATATTCCATAAATGACAAGTTGATATAAATTAATGATTATTTGTTTATCACACAATTATTGAACAAGTAAACCAAATATCGAAAACTAAGAAATTTTGTCGGTAGTGTGTATACTTTGGCCTTTTTCCATGCCCCAACTAAAATATACTAGAAGTATCCAATATTTGCAAATTTGCAATCATCATCATGTGTATCTACTTGATAATTTCATACTAGTGCAATGTAAGAGGTTGAGGTGATAGAGCAGTGATATCATTTCATCTCATATCCTTAATATTTTGGGATTAAATTTCATGAGACTTATTTAAGGGATTTCCTAAATCTCCCCCCTCCCCTCTCCAAATCCGCCCTTTTCTTGATTTATGTATTGAATTATTCTCTCTCACATGAAAGTTCACTGGACTAGAAGCTTGAATGCATCCCCATACCAGCTGTGAAATATTTCACTTGAAAGTAGGGGATGAATGAGGTTTGAACCTAATTGTGAGTGATATTTATGTCACGTTGACTCTAATGCCATGTCAAAAAAAAAAAAAAAAAAAAAAAGTTAGGTGTAAAATTAGAAAAGCTAACCTTGGAAAGGGAGGTCACGAGCTCGAACCATGTTAGGAACACAAAGATAAGTCCAAAGACCACAAGGGCTAATAGTTTCAATATAAACAAGAGGCACCCTCAACTCTTTGGCTACATCCACCATGCACCCATAAAACCCATCTGCTAAAACACACGTAACTGGTGTCATCAACTCCGGTTCGGCCGATCCGTGACCCAACACCGCCCTCAGCTTGCTCCCTTCCTCTTGTGCCTGCCTCTCTAACGCAATGGTCGATTCAACAAGCTTGAGTGCCCCTTGGGCATCCCCATCATCATGTTCCACCAACCCATCCGAAACCGTTTCAAACCGGAAGTTAGGGTAGGAGTGGACTAGTCGGGCAGCCGCGTTAGAGTGGCGAACAAGGCGGTTGTGGATGGAGGTGGTGGTGAGGAAGGTGACCGAGACGGTGGCTCGGCTTAAGGAGAGGATGAGGTGGGCTAGTTTAAGCATACAATTAACGGGGCCTTGGATTGGTAATGGAAAGATCACTACATGTGGTGTGGTAGTCTTTTTTGTTACAAAATCTTCCATTTTTAATGAAAGTGTATGAGTAATGTATGGTATAGAGGTGTTTGATTAGGCTATAATATATCGCTTTAGATTATAATTACAATGTTTGTCTAAAATTAGCTATATATTTGGTTATGGTTAATGGAATGAGTTGAATATATTAGGTTCAAAGGATTCTAGTCTTTTACGGAGTAATATTTTAACTAGTTTGTGGCTTTGGATTTTATTTAAATACAAAATGAAAAAATTATCTTAATTTTAGTTTAAAATAAAATTTTAAAAAAGGAAAAGAAAATATATGGGTATAGAAACAGAGATGAATTATTATACTTGTAAATGTTACTTTGTCTAATTACTAATATGGTATTGCATCTAGAAAATTAGCATCTAAGGAATCAATAACCATAAGTATGTGATTAATTTCTTATAAATTAAATTGTAATCAATAAATTAAATTGTAATCATATTGAAGGAATTTTGACACATCACGTTAGTATGTTGTGACATTGTGCTTTAATAATATTATAGATTATAGATTTTGATTGTTTATTACTTTAGATTCATTAAAAAAAAAATTAGGCCAGGGTTCCTAACAAGTAGAATACGTTATCAATCCGCATCTTTTTGACTAAATATAATTATAGATTACAAAAACTTTTGTATACATCCGGTTTACATTAATATTAGTGTACATTGAGCACTATAGGGGTAACTTTAAGCCAATTTAGGGTAACTTTTTGCCTTTTTTTGGGTAACTTTGAACATAATATGATTTTTTTTATAAATCGAACAAGAAAAGTTTTATAAGGGTGATAAAATTACTTTCAATCACTAATAATTGAATTTTAGTCATTTAAAATGTGATTCTTTACCAATAAAATGTAGATTATTTTTATTTGTATTGGGTTACTTTTATACATATTAGGGTAACTTTTATTCATTTTAAGGGTAATTTTTTATCACTTTAAAAGAGATTTAAAATAGATGTACAATAATTTATACACCCGATTTTTTTTAAAGTTTGTGTATAGATTCAAATAATGTTTGGATGATTGTATTTTTTACCAAATGTTGGAGAAATTGTTCTTATCTAACTAGAAAGTAATTTTAGAATATCCCCACCACAAATCTAAAAACAAATGGGAATCTTAAGGTCCCCCCAACTAAATTGACAAAACATAAAATATGATAAATATATGGCAACTTGATCTTGTTTGTCAATAAATAATTGATTAAATTTTAGCGTAGTTAAAATAAATCGACCAGCCAGAATTTTTTGACTAACTTATTATTATAATACAACTGGTTTGACTTACTAGTTGCATTAGATGTTTTAACTATTTTTTATAATAGAACTTTGCTAATTAATTTACTAATAAATTTTGCTTAAACTCGTGGTTGCTTTGAATGTGTTTGTATGCTTGGGTGCGTTTTCACAAAATCTTGTACTTTTAGGACCTATTCTCTTCAGCTTATTTTTAGTTCAGTTCAGTTCGGTTCAGTTTTAAATTTTCTTCTCTCATAAAATATTCAGTTCAGTTCATTTCAGTTAATAATCAGAACAGGCCCTTAGCAGATTCTTCTAACTTAACTGCATGAATAGCTCGTACACATCTTACAAAAAATTGAGTTGGACAACTTTTCCAAATCAGCTTATTAAACGAACTCCAATATATAATTTAAATAACGGTAATGAAGGGTAGCATATAAGCATTTAAATCTTTCCATTTTTAATACTCCGTATTAAGTTGAGAATTTATCGACAATTCACGAGTAAATCGGTGTAATAAATGCTTATTTATTGTTAATTTTTTCCAATAAGGGCGGCATATATCTTTTTCTTGTAAATAATTTATTTTTAAAACACCAAAAGTAGTTGACTTTGTGGTCAAACTAAAACTAAATTAACCGTTAATAATTATTATGGAATTGAGGAAGTATTATTCATTTCTTGAGAAGAATTACTTGCATTTTTTAGCGTACTACATATAAAAGAGAGTATACTACATACAATTGATAAAGATGGTTCTGTTTATAAGATATATAGATGCAGTATACAACTGCATCTTTTTTATTCATTTGATTTTGCTTCAAATTTATTCACTAAAAAGAAAGATCATTGTGTAAATTTAAAATAAAAAGGGTTCACAACCAAAGTTTTTTAATGAGCAATTAAACAAATTATGAACACCCATATCAAGTGATAATTAATCATCAAGTCGAACTTCTTCATGATCAATTGTTATAGACATCGGTTTGTTGTTTATAACAATGTGATCATTATCATCAGTCTTAGGAAGAACCCAACTCGAAGTGTCAAATTCGTCTCCCTTCAAACAAAGATAATCATACACTTCCTTCAGTTCTTCTTCCATATGTTCGAGTTTTGTCTTGCAAGAGTTATACTGATGCTTCAGCTCCTGCACATCGTTTTCAGACGATTTCAACATCATCTTGGTTGCTTGCAGCTCATTGTTGGTTGCAGAGAGTTGCTCTTGGACCTTTCGTAACTCTTCTTCTGCATCTCTACTTTCGTTTTCATTGGTAAAAACTTGATCCTCAAGCTCTATTACCTTTCGAGTTGAGGATTCTAGTTCACTTCTAGTAGATTCTAACTCGGTTTTCATACAATAAATTTCATCTTGTATCCTACGTATATCATTTACCATGTCCTCATTTTCCTTCTTACAGGAGTAAATCTGAATTTCGAGTTGTTCTACCTTTTCATTCGAGGATTTCAGTTCATTCTTGGTAGACTGTAACTCTGACTCAAATTCTGTAATCTGAACCTGAACATGTTGATACTTTGTTTCCACAGCTTCATTTTCCTTCTTACAACTGCTAATTTCTTCCTCGAGCTCTGCTACCTTCTTCTTGGAAATCTCTAATTGATTTGTTGCAGACTGCAACTCAGAAGTCGTTGAAGAAAGCTGATCCTGTACTTTTCGCAATTCCACTTCTATGTTTTGGCTTTGATTGTTGTACACAGAAAGTTGATCTTGGAGCTCGTTGAATTCTTTCTTAGACACTTCTAACTCAGCCTTGTTAGACTTTAATTCAGACTCAGTAAAAGAGAGTTGATCACATACCTTATGCAATTTCATTTCCATGTCTTTCTGAACTTTTTCACATGTCGAAAGCTGTTCTCTGAGTTCCTCTGCTTCCCTCTTCGAGGCATCCAAACTAACGTTTGTGAAAGATGTCTCGATCTTAATACAAGAAATCTGTCTCTCAAGCTCGGTTATCCTTTCCTCGATTGCAGTAGATTGTTCTGCTCCCATGTTTAACTGTTGGATAATATTTTGGTGATAGAGATATGAAATAGATGTACAGGTAGAACAAAGTGAAATGAATTTATTTATACATCGATGAGCTCTTAATTAACAACAATTAATCGTAGTACCAAATACCAATTATAAAGAACAGTTTACCCTCATAATAATCTATACCTCGCTTGTGCGTGCATTGATTCATTTATGTTTCTCATATAGAATATTCTTGACAAAAGCAAAGAATAAGTTTGTAGCTTCTGACAGAAAAAATAGTAGCAGGCAATGCAGAGAATAACTTGCGCTTCAGGTAGGATGCTAGAATAATACACATAATACATCCGTAATTAGTTGACACATTATCTCAACGTCTAATAATCGACATCTTAACAATATGACATGATATTACATAATACAATTTCAAACAATAGTTGTGAGTCTTGCGACACTTGTAATATTACAGCATAATTTAAATAACAATGCGTTAGAAAACTGAATCACGAATAGTTACTATTTTTAGGAAAGGAAAACTTTTTTCATAAATCCTAAAATTATGAATAGAAGGCTGGATTTCAATATACTAGAATTTGGGAAACCGATTACCCGGTATGAGATGTTACCTGATACTTGGGGTAAAAAAGAATAGATAGTCATACACAAGAGACGTCTTATTTCACCTCAATAAGCCAAGTAATCCAATCAGTTGTAAAGATCAGCATAATACAGGTAGCTAATTGCAAAATTTTCTCAGAAAATTGGGGGCACCAAATATACCCCAGCACAAAGAAAAAAAATATGAAAAAACAAAATCAGAAATAGAAACAAATCTACAAGTCTATAACAGCATCTCGGCAATCTGGACAGCATTAAGTGCTGCTCCCTTGCGTATTTGGTCACCACATACAAAAATGTCCAACCTGCAAAAATCACCACTCTTAGGTCTCTTACTTACTATATTAAAATACGTAGTATTAAATATGACATGTAGAAAGCCAAGGGTAGATTAATAAGAGAGGCTCATACCCATTATCTCCATCTAGAGAGACATCACGCCTTATCCTGCCAACAGCAACAGCATCCTTGTTGGAAACTTCCAAGGGGGTGGGAAAGTGATTTGATGCACGATCATCTATTACCACCACGCCAGGAGCGCTCTCTAAAATCTCTCTAGCTGTGTCCTAATTAATATTCAGTGAAGGAGTAGATCAATTAGAGGTTTCATATTAAATAAAATAAAAAGACGAATAAAGATCATTGTAGATGTCCAAAATAAGAATAAAAGGAGTATACACTTTTTATTTCATAAAATAAAATATTAATTTGTAAACAGTTGTGTTGAGTCTTTTATCATCTACAAAAATGCACCTCATGCTCTGACTAAGTCAGGGAGGTAGTCGGAACTCTAGCATCCAAAGGTGCTGAATTAGATATTTTATGTCACAGTACAACGGTAAAAAAGAAGTCCTAAAGGGAGACCAGGGACAATAGTACTGCTACACATAAGCTATTAGCACATCATCTTTGTAAGAGAACAAGTAACCAACAATTTAGGGCATTTTTCCAGCGAGAATGATGAACATGTCCCCAAACATACTATAGTTTCATAATTCCATATATAGGAACTCAATGGTAAACTAGTAGTAAAGCCTTGCGGGGCCTGTAAACTTAACCAATGCAAATGGAACATGGCGCTATTATAATGCAGAGTGCTCTTAAAGGCATATGTTTATCTTGCTTCTACATGATAGGGTTAATTGGCATACCTTCCCTCTCCCTAAGCAAATCCAAGGCCAAATCGGCTGACAGTGCAAAGTCAAACTACTTTAAAGCTCAAGTCATCCAAAAGGTTTCTACTCTAAGATGTCTGCTGTGAAACTGACTGACTGTGAGAATAAGAATAACTGACATCAATACTCATTGATTGAAAATCTTATTCTACCTTGGCAGATTACTTAAGATCATTGTCAGTAATAAGAATAACTAGTTTAAGTAATCCCTCTTCGAGCTGCTTTAAGCTACCTTGACAGATTACTTAAACCCCACCCAAAACATATTCCTTCAAAACAATTCCCTCAGAGGCCCATGTCAGTAATCATTATTGATTGAAGTACTTCTGAACCAACAAGCAACAATCCTCACTCAAACATAAGTTCTTTGCCAAGTATTTCCATTACAAAGGCACATCAACAAATCCGTTCTGACATTCACATTTGTAATTACAAGAAGATTTTTTCACAAATGACAAATCTCATGGAAACAGAAAAGAGTGGGTCAGTGACAATCAGATCATAAAAAAATGAAGTATGTACCTCGTCAAGGGGGGTCTCAAATTGAAGGTTTACACTCTCGGCATGAGCACGCATAACAGGGACCCTAATACATGTAGCAGTAACCCTGACAGTAATATCATCCTACAGAATAAAAAGAGCAAGGTTATAAAAATGTTTCATGGCAAAAAAATACTCAAAAACATCCGAGTACATGAAGAGCAATAAACCAGAACCACAACAACAAAAACCGACACTAAGGTACGATAATTAATCAATAGATAGCCCTTCATATGCTTACCCAAATTTTCCTGGTTTCCTTTACTAATTTCATTTCCTCTTCATTGTATCCATTTGAAAGAATTGGTGCATTGTGGGAGAACAAATTAAAAGCATACTGCATAAAAGAAAATGATAATCACAACAAATGGTGAAAAGAGAAGAGAGTTAAAAGCATAATCAAGAAAGCCACATAGAAAAATATATACCTGCTGACTAAAGATGTTGCAAGTTGGAGGCTTGCCTTCCAAAACCTTCACATAGAAAAATGTAATATTGGATAAATTCATGGGTCAAAAGAAAAATTGCTTTCAATTCTAATGGATATACTAGAGATGGAAAATTAATAAACATTGAAACATGAATTACAATAAACCTCACGAGTTTGCAGCTCAAGCTCTTCCATCGCAGCAGCACCAGCACCACTAGCAGCCTGGTATGTACTAACAACCATGCGAGTAACCTGCAAAACACACAACATAGATTGATTAATAAGATTTGAAGGAAGTAAAGCAGAGAGGAAAAAAAAGCGATTTCAGATGTGCATTATTAAAAACTCAAGTAGGAAACTAGTTATATAGGTATCTTATTAATCAAGGTTCAAAGGCTCAAATTTTTCAACAACCAACTACAGTTGCTACCTGTCATACAAATTGCTACATTATTACTGCTAAACACTAGCCCTTTAGTTATATCCCAAGTATCAAACTTTTCTCAACTCTAAATTGCAAAAACGGTTTTATTGCCATTAGCATACCACTTGCTTAGGCCCCTACAAATTAGCAACCCCTTTTCCAAATCAACATTGCAAAAAAAGTTCTATTACTATTAGCATATCATTGCTAAGATCACGACACTTATCGATCGAATAAAATTGCAAACCTTTAATGACAATGTAACATCTCTGCTCTAACTTTATAACAACCAATACCATACCATCAAAACAGAACACAAACAACAGTGTATAAACATCAATATATATCCTAATTCCAATTTGTTCAAGCAGCATTATATCCTAAAATCCAACTTCAAAACAAAATTTCATCTTTTATTATCTTTTTACCCAATTGCTGTAAAGTTTCTTAAACTTCTGCCCATTTACAACCAATAATCAATCAATCAATCCAAAACAAACCCAATTCAACATTTACCAAGAACAGCAAACCCTTTTAAGATCATCCACTACAAATCACAAAATTACAAGAAATCAAACAAATTAAACAGAGATTAATAGAAGAATCCTAAACCTTGGCACGGCGATGAAGAGGAGTAGCAGCCATTAAACAAATAATAGTAGAACAATTAGGATTAGCAATCAAAGCACCCTTTCCAGAACCAAGCTTAATATGAGACATAGCTTGAGGGTTAACTTCAGGAATAACAAGAGGAACATCATCAACCATTCGAAAAGCGGAGCTATTATCAACAACAATGGTACCCTTTTCAACAGCCAAAGGTCCAAACTGCTTACTAATGGAACCACCAGCACTGAACAGAGCAATGTCAATCCCATCAAAGCTATCTTCATCGAGCTCTTCGACGATATAAGTTCGGCCTTCGAAGGTCATCTCCTTGCCGGCGGAGCGTTTGCTGGCGAGGAGTTTGAGGGAGCGGTAAGGGAAGTCGCGATCGGAGAGGACGGAGAGGAATTCTTGGCCGACGGCGCCGGTGACTCCGACGACGGCGAGGGAGGGGCCGTCGTCGCGGAGGGACATGCGGATGGCGGAGGAGGATGGGGTGCTGGTGCGGGGGAGAGGGAGGAGGGTGCGGCGGAGGGAGGTGGTTGAGGTGGTGGTGGTGGTGCCGGAGAGGAAGGGGGAGTGGAGTTTTCCGGCGGCGAGATTCATGGCGGCGGACATTGTGAGAAACGCGGCGGAAGGTGGTGGGGGTTTAGGAGAGAGAAAGTGGAAGTGGAGGAAGTGTTTAGGGCTTTTGAAAGGGAAAATGATATGAAATGAAATGGGATTTTGTTGGATTTTAAAAAAAAATTATTATAGGAAAAAAAAAAAAATTATAGAGGATTTTATTTGTTTTTCTTATTAAGGAAAGGACAATTGCTTGAGGTTTTGGAGGATGGGAGTTTAAATGTTGACTTGGAAACAAATGTGGTATTTTAGAATGAGGATGGACAAGTTGAATTCTTACCATTGGAGGTGCAAACAAGTTACTAGACTCGAGTTTTAGCCTGTGCAAGTAAGTTTTGATAGAATGTACTTGTATAGTCGTATATGGCTGTAAACTTGTAAGGTTGTAAAATGTACTCGTAAATAGTTTTAAACTTGTAAGGTTAGCTCGAACTTGAACGAGCATGTGTGATTTTTGTTCAATATTGGCTTATTAAAGCCTTGCTTGATGGCAATTGTTGGCTACTTGGCTTAGCTAATTTGATTGGTTGTATTGGTTTATGTTTGATGTTTACTCATTATTATTTATTTAATAATATGTTTGGTAAAGTTGATTATTGGATGTATTAGAAACTTAGGTATCCAAATGTCTAAAGTCAAAAGCTACTCCAAACGACTTTTTTCATTTTGGCTTATAAAAGTCATCTTTTCAACTAGCTTAAAAAGCCATTTACCCAAAAAAAAAAAAAAAAAAAAAAAATCAAAAAAAACAAAAAAAAAAAAAAAAGGATATTTGACCAAACGAAAAAGCCTGCGCTTGACCAAGCTTACATCGACCTTAATTAAATAAATGATCTTTGATGCGTGCAAATTTGTGAAAGCCAAATGTGCATAGAAGTGGAAAATAATACTGATAGGAAGGCATATAAATAACATAAATAAAACAAACCAAAAAAATAAAAATAAAGAAAAGCTAGAAGGTGAATTCATTTGCTAAGTACATCCAGTCCTAAAACTCCTAATTGATAGGCAGCATTGTTTGCTTCCACCCTGACCAATCTGATATGAACTCTTTCTACCCAGCTCTCATCCGCCGACTAAGACAGTAATTTACCTGCCTCAGCCTTAATACTACAACAGTGTATGCAAAATACA